CCGTTAGTTCATATGCTAAAACGAGACTTTACGGTCTGTGACGTTCATGATTAGTTAACGTGTATGAAGAGCTAAGCAATTTAACGCAACTTTCATCAAGAACTACAGCTAGTATTAGTTGTAGGGAAGGTATCAAGCTATTGAACCTTCCAGCATCTCATACCGGAAGGTAGGGATATTCTTCAAGGCACTGTTGTGAGAAGATTCGAATGTTTATACCTATATTTTCAGCAATCGTTTTAGATCGTATTTCACGAAAAAAAGGAAAATTTCTTTCATACCTATATAAAGTTGTTTTGTTTTATCTAAATCAACAATATCTTCACGTAATTGTTCAATAATTGAATGTAATTCATGTTTATCATAATTATATTTTTCTTGTAAATCATAATAATCTTTTTTAAGTTGTTCAGTTTCTTTTGTTAAACTATTTATTTGTTCCATATGTATACTATTTGTAATAATTGTTCCATCTTTATCATTATCTTTATGTGTTAATTCATGAATTTGTTGTTGTAATTCTTCATTAATTTGAATAAGATTTTTTTCATTCGATGCAAATTCATCAATACGTTCTTTTAAATGATGAATTTCATCTATTAAAGATTCATTTGGATTATCAAAACTTGTTGAATTATGTGGAACAACTTGTCGATTAAGACTAAATTTTAAAATAGAAAATAATTATCTGTTGTCTTTTTTTTCTTTTGTTTATCAAACCTTGATAATTCATTAACAGAAATATTTGATATTCCAAATAAATCTTTATCAACTTCATGTTCTGTTATACCAAGACGATCACGTAATGTTCGAATTTCAGACTATAAATTAAATAGAAATAAAAATTATTATGACATCGTATATTTTGCTTAGATCTCTACGCTGAAAAACAAAATCATCAGCTTATACGATAAGTATTAGTTGATAGAATTAATTATATTCGTTTTACTAAGATTAATATCAACAACAACAACAACAATAATAACTGCAATGGCAAGTACTTTTTAATAAATAGATTAGATACAGTCGCAATCTTCACTAAGTATTGCAGCCCTCCTCCTGCACAGCCTGTGACAGACATTACCATGGAAGCGTCATAGACCATGGCAAACGTTGTTAATATACGATTACAAACTGTGACAGATATCTTAATAGCGCTCTTCTCTCTCTCTCTCATAAATATTTCAACCAAAGATCGTATATGAATTACTTCCTTGCTGCATTTCTGGAGGATTAAGCACAAGGATGATGAAGAAATGTGCCCCAAAATAGATCGAACAAAATAATTATCTTTTGCTTAACAATAGTAACTATATTGTGTTTTAAATTTTAATCTTACAAGAATTGTGCTCTAGCACATAGGTGAAGTTAACCTCATATTCGAGTAAAACCAGCTGAGATTCGTCCTGGGGTGTTCCAGAGTACAACTCGACGAGCTCTATCGGATGGTATGCTCAGATTCTCTTTAACTGAAATTATAATTTTTAGA